TTTTTTTTTTTGTGAAAATCAATTTTTTCCCCCAAACAGCTAAAACGACTGATCGATTTTTGTAAAAACACTAAATACGGATATATTTGCAAACCAAATCCGTTTCCTTTTATCTGACTGAAATTGATGATAATCATTTTGCATCGCGAGAAGGATTTGCAACTTAATCGAACGATTAAAAAAAAAAAAAAAGAAATTAACTAGCTTTACAATAAAACTGCGCATCTCTGTGTATATGAAAATAATTTGACCGATGAGGCATATACATATAATAAATCGCGTCTTCCGGTTTGTCTATTGTTCGAGAAGCGGAACGAAATTATTCGATAAAGGTTGAATTTCCAATTACATAATTAGCCTTGCACGTTCATGTTATATGTTCTCCACCTTTCTGCTAGTTCTTTTAAATACTCCTTTTTATTACAATAAATTATTTTCAAACACATCTCAACCTGCTTGATATGATAAATAATTCAGAATCACCTAAACAATAGTCTTTATACAACAAGTGTTAGAATATATTATATTATCAAACACTTAAGTAATAATGTATCTTTTCTGTTTCTTTAGTCTGCAACTATTATACATTTAACTACTATACTATTGTTAGAGCAGTAAACAACTTTTCGTCACTTTCACAAAAGATCCGAGAAGGATATATTCTTTTTTTTGTTTTCTCTTTTTTTTCTCATTATCCGCGTAATACATTATTTCGGATTTCTCTTCTTCCTCTCTTAATAGGATATATATATATATCCTATTGATATATCAGCACACCTCTCATCTTTGTTTTATGTTAATAATATATCGTCATCATACGATAGCATTTACTTCATCTTCATCGTTACAATTTTTTTTTCTTTTTTTTCTTTTTTGGCTTTTATATTTTCAAAAGATCTGTCTGGGTGCGTCGAGCTGCTGGACTTCGAATACTACCAAGACTAAGACAATAAAAGCTGTCGCGAAAAAAGATATCGGTCGATAAGTTAAACGAATTAAAGTATAGATTATAATTCTCGGTTCTCTTGTGTACGTTATACTTTTGTATGTGTGTGTGT